AAGTGTCATGATTTTTGTCATGTTTTTCTAACATAGTAAGCATAAATATGCTTTCCTTTTCCCTATCAGGCACGGAGATCTTCATTTCTCACTTTTTTTCATTTTCAAAACTTCTTATTATAATCATTTTTAGTATATTTTATCCCTCTAATGCATTGATTCTCTTACTGTATACCTAGGAAATCAACAGTTTAATCATTTGGAGAGTTAAATGTGGTTTGTTGTTCATCCTGGCATGCAATGATCTATGCTACACAGGGCACTGACAGACATGCAGCTCCCCACTGTAACCCACGGTGCTTAACAGGAAGTGCTATGAATTACAGAGATCCCCCTGACCCAACAGATGTTCTCCATTGGGTCTGAGGGGCTGGATGATTGAGCTCCAGCCTGCATGTTTGCAATCTCACTCCCCTACCTCCCCCACCCTCCCCATGCTCCCAGCTCTAGTGCTATAGTCAGGGTGGGAGGGAAAGAAAAGAGGGAAGGAAGTTTGGTTTGGGGTTTGCCCAGCCTGCACTGGAGGAGAAGGATGGGTGGATTAAAGCCCCTCCTGAGGTGGGAGAGGCTCCAATTCACCTGCTTCCCCCTCCAGCATAGGCTGGACAAACCCCAGACCAAACTCCCTCTCTTCCCTTCCTCTCTCCCATCCTGAAGACAGCACCAGGGGCAGCAGCCTAGCCCTGCTCCCAGTGAGCACTGACCAGTTAATGAAGGTGTTCCACTTCGGAGCACCTTCATCTAAATCCTCATGTAATGAGGGTTCATGTGTTGTGCGATTGGGCACTTTTAAAGTGCTCTGCAGCTGTGCACTTCTGTCTGACTGTAGAGTGCTTTCTGGGGGTCAACTGCATGACAAAACATCATTTCTGTCAGCACCCATTATATCTTTTGCTTTGTATGTGGGACTAGTCATAGGAACATTTTTTATGCAGCAGAAGCACCAACAACAGAAACTTCAAAACATAAGTAAAGCATACTATTTTGTTCTTCTGCTCTGTGCCAGGAAATCAACTTTTCCCTGTATACTATAGTGACAAGGGCTACTTTGTTGTGGGTCTTATTCACTACATACTGACAGGGATCATTTTTACATTGATGAGTGTAGTGCAAAGTAACAAATTCCTGGGAGATAACCATATCTAATTAACATAGTAACATGGTAGAAAGGTGTTTATCCATTTTCAAATTTGAAAAAGATTCTGATATGCATGCTGTCTAATAACCTATTAAAAACCAAAACAAAAAGTACCATACCTATGATTCATAGCAAATACTTGTGTTATGATGTACACAGGATTCAATAACCATTAAAATGTGCAATCCTATGAGTAAAATTTTGATAAATAGAGGCCCCAAGTACAAGACAAAAAATTATAGAACTACAAAGGACATAATGCTTGCTGAATGTGAAAACAATGACAGAACATGGTTTGCAAAGGCAGCATATCCGTTTTGTCATATAATTTTATTCACAAGTTGCTAGAATGGTGTTAGCTACATTCAAAAGTCTAAGTCATTTTGTTGATTTATATTTCAAAACTTTAGTCCAATAACTCATAGTTACAATACGGCTAGTTTTGTTTACATATTGGCATTTATCATGGTACTTACAGTAGCCAGTCTAGAAAAATGATTACAGTAGGGTTGATATTGTAATACTTTACAACCCATCAACTCTTCACGTCAAACCATGAAATAGATGTTAGTCTAATAGATATTATTCATAGAAGTTATCAGGTTCCAAATGCCTTCTCTGAATTTTATAGCATATTTGGTGACATGTAGTCTTACACATTAGAATGTTTTTTTTCCAAACTTCAGTTACCATTTTATATATAGGAAAAAAAAGCTTAAATTAACTGGACAGACATACAAATCTATAACCATATAGATATATGTGCATGCTTGCACACATATGTATGTGCAGATATTTTAAGCTATTTTGTAGAGCTAAATATTTCTGTATAGTACATTATCAGAAGTTACTAATACCTCTGGAATGTGTATTCATCATTAAAATCTTCACAAATGTCTTGACAAATGATATGCAGTTCAAGTTTCTAAAGTAAAAAAGTTTTTTTCCCCCCTCCTCTTATTTCTGGTGCACACTTTGCTCCTATCTAATGTTCTCCCAAATAGGACATATTCACTCAGATCAGTACATGGAAAAAAATAATCTTTCTTCTGTTTGCTTTAAAGGGCTTTTAGTCTTTTTTTTATCACTGAATACTGAGAGCCAAATCGAGGCACAAGGGACTTTGCAGTCCAGCTGTTGTGGCATAAATCAATATTTAAAATGCACAGTAGTGATTTTTCTTCCTCTGAAAGTAGGGCTTTATGTTCTGAATTTCTTGCTCTGTTGAAATACAGAACTTTGTCTAAGCTAGAATGAAAACTCTAATTTGGGCTTATACCAGGTTTACTAGCTCAGTGATGAGTGAGAAGAACATTAATAGAACTTCTGCTAAATGTTTGACTCCTGTGCCCCTCTGGGGGATTAATCAGGCTGTGGCTTCTTCAAGAATAAGAAGCAAAAATATTTCTAGTTGACTTAGGGAAAGCTTGCCTTTACCCCTTCCACCTGCACTCACAGAGGGTTTGATTCAACAGACTTTTGATGGCTCACTAAAGCAGAAGTTAAAGCTGGTTATAGTAGAAGAGTATCCTGAGGAAATCATGACCTTTTTGATTATTTTCTTAAAGGAGAAACCCTCTCTTCCCTCCTCCAAACAACTAATTTCAGCAAGGCAAGTGGTTTGCAGGCACGCTGTGTATCATTTTATTGCCTGCAGCCTTTCATGCATTTTATATGATGATTTATGAGCTAGAAGGTGATGACACACTATCCAGTTTTGCCTCTGTATCCCTTTCCTAGCTATTCACCACAAAACCTTTCCTTCTATAATGATGTCCCAGTGGCACAGTGCCCTTTGCAACACTCCTCCCCGTTGGGTAGATGCCCCCAAGGTGAATTTCTCTGTTCTGATGGAACCTCCCTTGGGTTTAGCACTGTCTGAATGCATTGATGGCGGACATAAAAGGTGAGGAGCAGATGTGGAGCGCTATTCTTCTTTGACACTCAGGGGCCTTCTCTCTGGTGTTTCCCACTATGGCAGGAGCAGGAAGCCAAGAGGCTAATGAATGAAGCTTGCAAAAGAAGTCGTTAACCTATAACCTTCTCACAGGCAGAACATAGTCTATTAAGTTCACACACGCTTATGATTCATGCTCTTTTTGTTTACTGCTCCTGATGCATTTCCCAGCCCTCCCCATTGTGGTTTTAGAGCCATGGAGCTGCCTCAGAACCAAAAGCATCATTAGCATCATGATAATGTTAACAGTATCAACAATTACATTGACAATAATTACAATGATATTGGAAACAGCATAATTAATAATATGAACAATATTAACGAAGATGACAATAACAATAATGTTAATACTGATATTGATAATATTAATAATGATATTGGTAATTATGACAGCAGTAATGGTAATATTATTACTAATATGAATAATAATAATGACAATGATCATGTTGATAATGATATTAATGATAATGATCATAATGACAGGGATAATGGTAATGTTAATAATATGAATAATGATTATGACAATAATCATGTCAATAATGGTATAAATAATAATATTAATGATATTCATCATAATAACATGGAAAATGATAATAACGACAAGAATGATAATGTTGATAACCATGACAATAATGGGATGACTAATGATATTAATAATGATATTGATCATAATGACAAGGATAATGGTAATATCATTAATATCATGAATAATAATTATGACAATAATCATGTTAATAATATGAATAATAATATTAATGCTATTGGTCATAATGACAAGGGTAATGGTAATATCATTAATAATATAATATCATTAATAGTATAATTATAATAGTGAATAATAATGATGACAATAATCATGTCAATAATTATATGAATAATAATTAGATGAATAATCATATTAATGCTATTGACCATAAGGACAAGATAATGGTGATATCATTAACATGAATGATAATTATGACAGTAATGTCAATGATACTACTAATAATATCCATGATACTATTGATAATAATGACAACGATTTGGGCAATATTATTATTATTAATACATATCGTATTAATAACGAAGACAATCATCATGTTAACCATACATGCAATAATACTAGTAGTGCTACTGATGATGGCAAGTATAAGGGCAGTAGTATGAGTCATATGGATAATAATATTCGTAAGGAGAATAGTAACGCTAATATGGTAGTAATATCAATGTTGACGTGGAAACTGATGACAATAATACCGGCCATAGTAATAATAACGATAATGATGATAGTAATGATGACAATGACAATGCTGCTGGTGATAGTAACAGTGACGACACGACACGACGAAGAACCCTGAGTGACAGCCCCCCCACCCTTGTAGGAAGCCGAGCGAGGCGCCCCCCAGGGCCCGGGGCGGGTCTGCGTCAGTGACCGGGGAGGGGAGGGGAGGGGGCGGCGGGAAGAGCTGAGGCCTCCCG